CCATGTAATTTTAAAATTCTAAATAAATTAATAACCTTATAAATAACTATAAATCAGTCCCTTATAATTAAAAGCAAAAATTTTTTAACACAACCTTCCAAGTGGTTATAAGCGACTTTGTAGGGAACACTTTGGCACAACTGTTACTGTTGAATTTGCTTTAGTCTGCATACTAGTTGAGTGATAATCTTAAAATAAGTGTGAAGAAAAGAAACACTTCCGACCTGGCGTAGAATAACCAATATTTAAGCTAGCCTTTTCTTTTAACTGTTGTTAAAAGTCTCAGTCTGGCTCTAAAAATTTTATTATGGTTGAAAATCGCTTGCTATATGAAAAACGGAGATTTTTTTTTTGAAGTGGCGATAATAATTTTATTCGCAATGTCCCACAACTATTATAAAAAGCAAGCAAATGCGCAGTTGAAAAACAATTCAGGTGACTCGTTACCGATCATTGATATACACAAAATATATTTTTCAATGACCACTTTCAAATAATAAAAAATCAGATGAAAAATCATCCAATAGGACGAATTGTATAAACTTGTAAATTTATTTATAATATTGGTTAATGCCGATCATTTAACACGATGGCTTAGCTTTTGGGCTGCCCTTGTCGAGTAATTTCGGCACTTGTCAATTGATTAGTTTACGAATTTACTTTGATTCTCGCTTACTTGTACCCGGAAAGCTTCAGCGAGCATCTAATCACACTTATTGGTGTAAGGTAATTGTAAATAAATAAAGATGGCTCTTTTACAAAGCTCGAAGGCTTCTATAAAGTTCCTTTTATTCACTTGTGACCGATTTATTTCAATCGTTTATCCTTGTCTATATTTATTTAACTCGCTTTGATTTATTTACAGAACAACTTGGACAGTTTGTTTAACAGCACTACGATTACGATAACACTATCAATATTCCCGGCTAACATTTGACCAATACTTTACTAACCTTAACACCACTTTAAATGAAAAGTAAAATAAAATAAAGCAACGTTTTATTTTTAAAGGTTTATTTATAATTTTTTAAGTAATGGTTTTACAGTTTTTATTTTATTAGAGTGTTAATGCGGTAAGCGAGGACCCGAAGTTGTGAAATAATTTAATAATAAATTTCGTAAATTAAAATAAAATTTTGTTAACGACTTTTATCCCCTCACAATATAAACCTCTATGTATGAACATGACAGGAAAATGACAATTTAATGGACGTAGATGGTTTCTTGTATAATTCCCAAGGTTTAAATTGCAGTCATTTAATTATCCATATATTAATATGCATTGATTGAATATATACGTTACACGAATAAATTATTATATATCCCTGCTGATGCGTGATTGCCAAGCCCAGCCTTTTTTTACCATCGAAGATGAAGCCCTGCAATGTTTGGTATGGAGGGTGTACAAGTAAGCACACTTTATGTCTATTTTGATAGAAGGCATCCCTATGAATCCACTTTGTTGCATGATAAGATATATGAAATCTTCTTTGAATTCCATCATTGATGCTGGAAAATTTGGGAGCCGATGATTATGTAATACTCGGAACTCCGTCCGCATTGTCTTTATTTTACATGGATTGATTCTATATGATTCGCAGGTAGGCCTATGAACAAAGTGGCATGCAATCTATCATATTGTTTAAAAGTTAATTGGTTGAGGCTTATAAAATTTAGATTGTTTTGAGTGACGATGCTAGTGTTTTCTTCATTTCTATAATTTTAATGAAAACCTTTTGATAAACATTGTATATATTATATAATTCACGAACGCTTTGTTGTGATGGTGGTTAGTGAATAATATAAGTTTTTCGATGTTGATAGGAGTGTCAACTGCAAATACTCTGGATTTAGTTTCTCGAGTAGATCCTCTTCTTCCTTTGTCAGGGGTATTGTTGGGTGAGCCTTGCTTACATGGTGGACTCGGATGACTAG